TCGCCTCCCTTTACCGCCCCCGGGCTCGGTCACCGGTCTGGTGCTGACATTCGTTTCCCCCCCTAAACTTTATTATCAAGCCATGACATTTGGGGGAGTTTGTACTGGGGAGCGTGATTTCAAGAATAATATCTATTGAAGTCTGTTTTGTAAGCATAGTAATCAGACTTCTCTGTCTAAATGGTCCGTGGGTCACGGCTCTTCCCTTTTCTGGCTCATCTATCTATCAGCTGCCTGAACCAGGTCTCGGTAACATTTTTGTGCCAAGAAGGGTGAGTAGGTGGACATACTCCTGAAGTTCTTACATTTCTGAAGAGATGCTATTATTAACTTGCCGAGTCAATGACGGCCTGTCCGTGTGATGAATGCGTGGGTCACATCTTTTGATGTAACACATTCCATTCTCCTCGCGCACTTCCGGTGGCTGGGAGTTCTGAGGCCAGCCTCCAAACAAATATGAGCTGCACACGCGTACCGGATAGTTACTGTGTTCGCAGAAGAGTTACGAGGCAGGGCCAAGCAGCCACTCCACAGGAAAACGATGTGGCGGTGGGCTCCCTTCAAGGTCAAGGCCGCCAAGAGTCAGAAGTGACTCTCAAAAAACAATGATCCTAAGAACCCAGGGAGGTAAATCCGATGATCACTGAAGTGTCACAGCGACGGAATCTTAACGGCATGCCTTTTCCCAGAAGCACATGCACACAAGGAGTGCAGAAGATGTAAGCTCAGCTCTGACCTGGAATCTGCTCCGAGTGACGACCACCCTGCTGGGGCTGTCACGCCGAGATCAGGAGAGCAATTCCTAACAGGACACTTCTTTGTTTCTCCTGTGGCCTGCTCCTGGGGGGACCCTGCAGGAATGGCCTCATGTCCGATTCGATTCAAATGAATATCCTTTCATCTTTGACTCCAACCTAGATCGTAACTTACACATATAACCTGACAATCATCGATACAGGGCTATGGTCAGTCCCTGGTTGCAGTAAACGAAACTCCCGTTTTCTCGGTTACTCGCTTCTGAGAGTCGTGAGGAAAAGGAAAACTGTCTACTCCCCTGCCCGTGTCCTGGATTCCAGAAAGACTGGGAGCCAATAACACTGAAGGCAGAGAAACTCGTGGGAGGCCTTTGCAATAATACTACAGCGAGTGAGACTTTCAACCAAATCTGAATGGAGTTCTTCAAAGAGAATTGATAAAGTCGTTGAATCAAAAAGAAACTAAGGGTGAGAGAAGACTCCGAGGGTGTGCAATAGAACAGAAAGTAATTGCGGGGGGGGGAAGAATGTGGCCTGGGGCATATAATCTCAATTCTGTGTACACACACGTACACACACCCCATCACGTTAACAGATGATGATTTTGCTAGCTCGATCCAGATTTGTCGGGGTGAGCATGCTAAGTCCTACCTATTATGATGATGTTAGGGGCCATCGAACGCCCCTAGACCACAGAACCAGACACTGCCCCATCCTGCACCATCCCCACCACCACTGTTAAGCGTTAACCCCATGGCTGCAGCCAATGTGTCACTCCATCGCATTGAAGGTCTTCTCCTTTTGCACGGGCCCTCTCCTGCAAGTGACTGGTCTCTCCTGGGGACATGTCCAAAGCCTCACCGCCCTCCCTTCTGAGGGGCAGCCTCGCTGTGCTTCCACCACGGCGGGCGCATCGTTCTTCCGGAAGCTTGTGGTCTATTCGATATTCTTCACCCACAGCCTACTCCTAAGGTAGCAATACTCTGGTGGTCTTCCACATTCAGGGTCCCAGCTTCCACGGGCACATGTAGTGTCTACAAACACCATGGCTTGGTTCAGGCCCACCTTCGTCCTCAAGGCTCTGCTTTTTAATACTTTGGCGGAGTCTTGTGCATCTCAGGTTTGCCCAGTGCCATTCATACTTTGATTTCCTGACTGACTGCTTCCAGGGATGTTGACAGTGGACCCAAGTCAATTAAGATCTTTGGTACCTTCCATCTTCTCAACAGTTACTGTGTCTGTAAGTCCAGTTGTGGGGAGTTGCATTTCTTTATTTACGTACATCGAGGTGTGATCCGCCTGTGGTCTTCGATCTTCGTCGGTTAATGCTTCCCTCCTCCTCACTCACAGCAACAAGGCTGTGTCATTTCTGTAGTACAGGCTGTTCGTGAACCTTCCTCCCATCCTGAACCGTGGTCCTCTTCCCACAGTCCAGCTTCTCGGATGCGCTCGGCATATAAATTGAACAAGTATGGAGAAAAGATACATCGCAGGCACACAACTGGTCCTGTTTGAAACCATGCAGCATCCTCGTTCTCTTCAGATGACTGCCTCTCAGACGATGGGTAGGTTCAGCACGACAGAGTCAGCTATTCTGGAATTCCCATCCTTCGAAATGTTACCCATAATTGGTTATTATCCACACACAGTCTTTGCATAACCAATTAGACATCGTTTGCCAGGCATTCTCCGCTTCCAACCAAAAATTCATTAGATATCAGCAGTGATATCTTTCATTCTACTTATGCTGCTGAATCAGGCTTGAATTTCGGGCAGTTCCCTGTTGATGTACTACTGAAACCACTGTTCACTTATCAGCAAGTTATTAGTTGTATGTGATATGAATGACATTGTTCAAGAACGACTGCATCTGCTGGGTCCACACTCTGGGGGATGGGCGCAAAGATGGATCACTTCCAATGGGTTTGCCAGGTAGCTGTCTCCCAGCTCTCTTGGTGCCGGCAAGTGAGCACTCCTGGCATTGGATCGACTCAGTGAGCCATTTCCATGGGCCTGTTGTCCATTCCTAGAAGCTTGTTTCTCACTCATGGAATCGGTGCAGGTTAGACTTTCCTTCAACACCGTCAGTTCTTGATCGCATGGTATCTCCTAAAGAGATGTAGTTGAATGTTGGTCGAAGGTTGACCAGTTCTTTTTGCTACAGTGATCGGCATATTCCTTCCATCTCTGTGCAGTGCTTCCTGTGTCATCTGATAGTGTGCCCAAAGAATCCTTCAACACTGCACCTCAAGGCTTGAACTTTTTCTTTGGCTCTTTCTGCACGAGGAGCGTAGAGAGCGTTCCCTCTTCCCTTCCGTTTTTCTGACCCCAGGCCTTCACAGAGGCCAATCTGATGCTTCACTTTGTCTTCTCAAGCCGTCCTTGGGAATCTTCCGTTCAGCTCCTTCACGTCACCATTCTCCCCTCTCACCGTCACTAGTCTGTGTTCAAGAGTCTCTTCGGACATTCAGCATGGCCTAAATATAACCTTACGTCTTTTTGTTTCCTAAATTTGTTTTTTCCCAAGTTATCCAATTTTATCATCTAGCCTAGCCAGCATTTATTAAATATCTACTTTACTACCAGAACTGAGTTAAGTGTTCCTTTCAAATACATCCCCCTTTGCCTTGACCATGAAATCCTTCACTCCCTCTGTTTACTCCTTCTGTCCTGGATTCCTCTATCAGGTGGATCCTTATCCCAGTGGCTCTCAACCTGTGGGTCATGGCCCCTTTGGTGTTTGAACGACCCTTTCACAGGGGTTGCCCGATTCCTAACAGTAGCAAAATGACAGTTATGAAGTAGCAAGTAAAATAATTTTCTGGTTGGGGGGTCACTACCATGTGAGGAACTGTATGAAAGGGTCGCAGCCTTAGGAAGGTTGAGAACCCCTACCTTATCCTAAGCAGACCTCACTGAAAAACTCTTCCACCACACCCCTAGCACAGTCCTCATTCTTCCCTACCCACCTGCCCTCGGATATACAGCCTCCCTGGGAGGCTCACCAAGAAGTCCTCAAGACCAATCCAAGGGCCGAGCACTCGTGCTACTAATAGTGTTCTCTTGTATCTGTAGTGTCGCTTCCTTCGTTTCTGAAAGTGCTCAAGTATCTTGCAGGTAAAACAATATAGATCCATCTTTTAAAATCCCAAGCTTCTTAAGGAAAAGCTTTTCCTCCCATTTAGTCTGTCACCTATACTGCTCCCTCTTCCTCAATCGAAACAGTTGATCGTTAGTTCACGGTGATTCTGTCCGGTCTTCCTCGATCCACCTTCACTGCACCGGCTTGAGGTCGGCCCTTCCTCTGTTCCCATGTGCACTAATAAAAGAACGTCCTCATTTAGCTCCTCCTTCAAATGTTCCTCATCCAATTCTGCTACATACGACTGTCGGAATACTCCTTCTAAAACCCCAGACAGATCGCATTTCTCCCGCGTTTAAAACAAATCTGTGAGTTCTCAGTGTCAAAGACCAAAGCCTGACGCTTCACCACGGGACAGAGATCTCGGTATCTGCCGCACGACGGAGCTACAAGCAGTATCCCCGATGAGCCAAGCAACGGTCTCAGGCAGCACACACTCCAGTCTTCGGAAGGGACCCCCGACTCCCGGAGCCATGCTGCTGCCTACATCGGCCCAGAGAGCACGCTGCTCCTCCTTCTGGAATCCCCATTCCCCTTCCTGCCTCGGTTTACCGACCCATCGTCTACCTTAATTGTTTCTCTCTCTCCTGTTATGCCTTCCTGACCCAAGCAAGTAGTTGGGTCGGTCCCTTTGGGCTGCCTCGTATGCGTATTATCCTCTATTAAAACGCATCACACCGCTTCAATGTCATCAAGCGTGAACATGCCTGTTCCCCTTTCTAACCTGTGAACTCCTGAGTCGATTCTAACCTGTGAACTCCTCAGAGCTTTGGGGCCATTCCTGTGTCCCTGGTACAACGGTGAAGTGCGTGAATCCATCGGCCTTTCTGTGGGACAGATGTGGCCCGTGGGCTCTGTAGTGACTGCAGTCTTGGAACCCTGTGAGGCTGTTCTACTCTGCCCTCTTGGGCCATCTTGAGTCTTAATCCACTCGGTGGTCACAAGCTGGGTGGGATTTTGGATTGTATCCCTTCCGCCCACCACTCCACACAGGTGTCTACTAAATAGTGCTGCGAGAAAATCAGAAAGAATAACGAGCGAGAGAGACCACTTCATGCCCGTGACACACGCCTTCACACGCCTTCACGTACAACAAGCCCTACCTGATAACTGACGGTTTTCTTCCCGTCACTTCCGGTCTGAGGTAAGGTCAGAGGTCCGGACACCACCCACACATCCTCAAACCGCTCCGTCAGTTCCCGACAGTACATCTCTATCCTGGAGGGGAAACGACAGTCACACGGACATGAACGAAGAAAAGGAGCAAATCGTCTCACAGGGCCCCCAAATCAACCAAGATTATGGCACTTGAGAAATTAACGTAAGCGAGTATCACACAAAACATAAACATATACACCGTGATCTTCCCAGTTTGCTTATTGCCCCACCACTAAAAATATTGCACACATCACAGCATCTCCATTTCTATGCGGAAGCATACATTTAGAACTGCAGTTCTGTTGTGTGTCCCCCATATCAGCAAGCTTTTATGTCAGAATTTTCATCTAAGTTTTTTATAAGAATCAGGTCATTCCAACAAGTTGACATTCTTTTTTTTTTGTATTACATATTTTATTATATGCAGATGCCAGTGTTTATAAAGCCACCCTTGTGAAACAGAAACTCGTGAAAACTCAGAGAGGTAGAGATGTTAAGGACTGACCAAAGTAGAAGTTTGTATAGAAGTTGGCACCTGTAACTGTGAAGACAAGCTCTGGTATGAGCTTCAAATTTAGCTCTCCTTGAATATTCACTCGTTCATGCAAAGTGGCTTAGGAAACCCTGGAAAGAGTCATCTCACTACAAAATGAACACCCTTTCTGGGGTCTAAAGGGATTTGGACGTGAAGAGACTCAGTCAGCAGGGGGTCATGTCGAGCATTCTGCAGACAAAACTGTTTCACATCTGCAGCTGCCGGGAAACTTTCACGCGGTTGAGCCTGGCCTCGAGCCCGAGTGGCTGAACCACCTTCTGCATGGCGGCGACCCTGGAGGGGCCAGACGTGACCAGGAGACGCTCGCTTCTGGGTCATGTGCTCGGCCAACATTATGTTTTCTTTAACCATTTTTACTCTGGGTCAAGTCACTTTATCCTAAAAACATTTTTTTTATATAACACAACATTAATTCCTTAAGATGAATTTCCAGGGCCGGAATTTTTACTATTTCAATGGCTTTCAGTCACATATAAGCATTTTTAAGAGTTGTTCCAAGTCACTCTGGAACTCTAAACTGTGAGATAGATGGCTCACGATGACTTAAAGTACTGGGAATTAAAGGGATGATTAAACCACGGTGCAGTATAGCTCTGATGATGGATCGCACATCATTCCTCTGGTCCTGCAATGCTTCCTCCCAGCACTACCATGACCCAGTTCTAGGTTGGAGAACACACACTGGTACAGAAAAGAGCTCTCTCTCAACACATGGAATTCAGGAAAGAAAAACCCCTCAGGAACAGTAATGGGAGTAGCGATATCATGATACTGATAGCGCAGGGGGATGATCAGGGAAGAGAAAAGGGGAGAAAGGGGGAACCCATCACAAGATTGGTATAGAGCCCTCTCCCCCCACCCCGAAGGGGGCGAATAACAGAAACGTGGGTGAAGGGAGACAACAGACAGTGTAAGATGCAAAATAACAATAACAATACAGAATGGATCAAGGATACACGACGGGTGGGAGGGTGGGGTGGGGGGGAGATGAGCCTATACCATGGGCTCAAGTAGAAAATGTTTAAATAAACATTTAATAAAATGATTTTTAAAAACCTGGGAATTATTGTTTAAATGCTATCTTTGCTAATTTACCAGGTAAAATCGGATCTAAGTAGCTTTGATATTCACTTCCATATACTACTGTTGGCAATAGATTGAATACATCAGTATCCCTGCATTTCCGTCTGAAAAGTAGACTAGCAGCATTTATTATTTTTAATCATTTTATTGGGGGCTCATACAACTCTGATCACAATCCATCCACCCATTCATGGTGTCAAGCACATTTGTACATTTGTTGCCCTCATCATTCTCAAAACATTTCCTTTCTACTTGAGCCCTTAGTATCAGCTCATTTTTTCCCCTCCCTACCTACCCCCCATTAACCCTTGACAATTTATTTTGTCATGTCTTGCACTAACTGATGTCTCCCTTCACCTACTTTTCTGTTATCTGTTCCCTAAGGAGGGGGTTGTATGTAGATCCCTGTGATCGGTTGCCCATTCTACCCCACCTGTCCCTTATCCTCCTGATTTCTACTCTCATTATTGACCCCGAGGGGTTTATCAGT